GGCTGGGGAGGCACTGACTCTTTCAGTCAGATTTACAAATATTATATTTTGACCTTAATCGAAATGTCCGGTTATTTTTAAAAGCTTTTTTAGTCTGATGCTTCGATTCATTTTAAACAGACTGTTCAACAAAAGGATACCCAAAATATAAATATTGGATTGTTCTTTCTTAGTAAGATGATCCCATGTTCATTACAATTGTGGTCTTACCTTGACTTGAAGATGAAGTCCATGCTATCCTTCTGGACAACAATCATTTTTGTAAAAGTCCTCCTTATCTCCCTCTAGTTTCAAAACAAAAGTCTAGTTTGTTGTTTGTGTCTACCGTCTCTGCGTAGAATAACAGTAGCAACAAGAACCTGTGGGCTCACGTGCGCCCCCTTCAGTGCGGCAGAGGTTATGGCTGCCTCTCCAGGTGCTTTTTTCATTGCCGTTATATGATGAGGCCAGCGGGCCTAAATATCATATACGTGAAATAAGTTATTTAGAGACTATGGATGGCGAGGATAAATGTAATAAAGGGATCTATAAACATTACATTGGTAACCTACAGTGAGATGGTAACAGGCATGCGCTTAGTGCCCGCGCTCCAGCCAGTTTCTGTGGGGTGACGCATTCTGAGGTGAGGCAGAGCTCATCTGTGCCTCTCCTCACCCCACAGTAATAGGCTTGAGCGCGCTCACAAAATAAGTGCCTGCGCTACATTAGTGACCGCGCTCCAGCCAGTTACTGTGGGCTTACATGAGGCAGAGCTCGTCCCTGCCTCACTCCTCTTCGCTCCCATGTAGTTGTAGCGGAGCTCGGCCAATTTGCTGATTTTGACTATAAAAAGCGATTGGAATCATACAGAAATCACACTTACAACACAGATCAGTGGAGACATGTTGTTATTATTATTCCTATTTAGTTTTTCTTTAGTTATTTTTCCATTACATTGGACTCGGAGTATGACAGGTGAGGCTCTGCCTCCCCTGCCTCCCCTGACTGCACGTCGCTGCACACACATCATGCGCCTGTGTGACCGGACATTTCCTTCATACAACGAGTAATAGGGGGAATAATCGGTCCGTTCGATGTGTGTGTGTGTAGAGGTGTGTGTGGTTGAAACGTAGCAGCCTGCAGTGGGGAACACAGTGAAGGCGGTGTGTACGCGCTGGTGCTGCAATTCTCAGAGGATGCCTCCTGATGCTGCAGCCATTTCATGAAGTGAAGGAGGCTTTACAAAGAAAAAAAAAAGCTCTACACCCCTGGCCGCAATGTCCTTAAAATGAAGTCCGAGTTCGAAATATATCTCAAATAATGTATGCACTGCCATTCCCCCGCAAACATAATAGTCTGCGATTAAACGGTTGTCTCCTGTGTGCTCCACTTCCTATTGGCGCACCACCTGTAACTTTATCTGCACACGAGTGGCTGAGACCTTATAGTAACCAATTTTTATTTATTTTGTATGTTTTGGATGAAATAATATGACTGGTATAAAATAAAATAAAAATAAAAAAATGCATTGAATTTTTTTTGATAAAATATTTGTATATATTTATAATTCTGCAAATATTACGATAAACTCACAGCTATTTTGCGGCCCGACAGTAACACCTCCTCGGCCCGGTACCGGTCCGCTGACCGGGGGTTGGGGGCCCCTGGTCTAAAGGTCTAATTTCAGGAGGTATTGGGTGTTAAGCATAAAGGGAAGGGCTGAGGAAGGATGAGGGATGTTGTCGTTCATGCTGGTCTGGAGGATGAAGTGAAGACCAGACAGAGGGAGACTCGGGGGGGGGGCAATCTGAATACAAGCCCCCATATGGTAGGACAAAACTATAAAAACAGATAAGGGGAGACAGTAAGAGAGGATGAAGGGGTGTAGTGATGGAGGGATGAAAGAAAGTAGGGAGGAAGGGTTGAAGGGAAGTCGAAAGTGATGGATTAAGGGTCGAAGGAATGTAGGTAGGGTGGGATGAAAGGGTGTTGGTTGAGAGAAATGGATGTACAGTAAGGAGGGAGGGATGAATGAATAAAGGGATGTAGGAAGGGAGTGATAAAGGGTCAAAGGCATGTAGAAAGGGTTGAATGAAAGCACGAAGGGATGTAGAGATTTTGAGACAAAGGGATCAAGGAATGTAGGGAGGAAAGGATTACGGGTTCATGGGATCAAGAGAGAAGATATTAAGGGTTCAAGAAGTGTAGGGAAGGAGGGATGAAACGGTTGAGGAAATTAGGGATGGATGACAGGATGTAGGAGGGATGGACATTGAAGGGATGCAGGGATGTGAGTAAAGAGGAAAGTAGAAAGGGGCAATGGATACATGGAATGAAAGGGAGGGTGGGTTGTGAAATTGGATAAAACTTAGGCTTGATGTGTTGACCAGTATAAGTAGCTCAACAGGTGATCAGACGGGGGGTGGAGGCGTCGCCCTGCTGATGAAGTTGACTCATAAACTTCATCCATGGAACACACTGAGCAGGAACATGTTACGTGCCTTGATAAGAGCAGCATAAGAGTCATACAGAGTCCAAACGTTGATGACTGAATAAATGAATACATCTCAAGGTGTAGCCAAGGACTAAAGACTTCAGGAATACATCTGTGAATTTGGCTGGAAATTGGTCCATACCGACAAAACATTATTTTGTAGCACAAAGCATCAGAACTGTCTCTCTGTGTCCTACAGCCGGTCTCTCAGGTGCTACGAGACGAGGACTGCCCCTCCATGCTCGTTCCTAGTAGACCATGTAAGAAAGAAATACCTACCGAACATTTAATCTGTTTATATTAAACTAGATCATAGATGTCTAAATGAACAGATTTAGATGTTTTCTTTAAAAATACCTTTGTCAGCTCCATCTTACAGTACCAGTCAAAAGTTTGGACACACCTTCAAATTCGAAGTTTTTTGTTTATTTAAATGTGTTCTACATTGTAGATTTATAATAGAGACATCAAAACTATAAAGGAACACATATGGAATTATCTAGTAAACAAAAAAGTGTTAAAAAGCCAGAATTATATTTAGCTGGCTACTGCAGAATGCTGTGGTAGCCATGCTGGTTAAGGGTGCCTTGAATTCTGAATAAATCACCACTAAAGCCCCCCCACCATCACACCTCCTCCTCCATGCTTCACGGTGAGACCACTCATGCAGAAACCATCCGCTCACCTTCTCTGTGTCTCACAAAGACACGGCGGTTGGAACCAAAAATCTCAACTTTGGACACATTAGACCAAAGTACAGATTTCCACTGTCTTATGTCCAATCCTTGTATTTCTTGGCCCAAACAATTCTCTTCTTCTTGTTGTTCATCCTCAGTAGTGGATATTTGCAGAAATTGGACCATGAAGGCCTGATTCACTTAGTCTCCTCTGAACAGTGCATGCCGAGCTTTGTCTGCTCCTTGAGCTCTGTGATCATTTATGTGGGCTCTAATCTGAGGTGCTTTCATTTACGGTTTCTGAGGCTGGTAACTCTGATGTATTTATCCTTTGCAGCAAAGGTGTTTCTTGGTCTTCCTTTCCCGGGGGGTACTCATGAGAGCCAGTTTCATCATAGCGTTCGATGGTTTTTGCGACTGCACTTGAGGATACATTCAAAGTTCTTGACATTTTCCGGATCGACTGGCCTTCATTTCTTAAAGTGATGATGGATAGTCGTTTCTCTTTACTGAGTGGAGTGATTCTTGCCATAATATGGATTACAACAGCAGTCAAATAGGACTTTCCACTGTGCACTAACCCTACCTCTGCACAACACAACTGATGGTCTCAAACACATTCAGAAGGCAAGTCATTCCACAAATGGACTCTTGACAAGGCACACATGTTAATTGAAAACCATTCAAGGTTACACCTCATGAAGCTGACTGAGAGAAGCCAAGAGTGTGCAAAACTGTCATCAAGGCAAAAGGTGGCTACTTTGAAGAATCTAAAATAAAAATCTTATTTTGGATTTTGACATTTTCGAATTTGAAGGTGTGTCCAAACTTTTGACTTTTATTTACATCATACGTTGCATGATGTAAATATTGTTTGGGAGGGAATTTGATTGCAATGCTGTGTGTGTGTGTGTGTGTGTGTGTGTGTGTGTGTGTGTGTGTGTGTGTGTGTGTGTGTGTGTGTGTGTGTGTGTGTGTGTGTGTGTGTGTGTGTGTGTGTGTGTCAGTTCTCCAGAGATGTCTCCCTGACTTCACCTCTTTGAATGGGACGGTGACTGTGGCTAACAGGACCAGCTTTAAAGATGCTCTGGAAATGGCCCGCAGTGTCACTGAACTCCAACATGCAGCCAAGTACTGAACCCTCTACTATTATCTATACACTATATACTACATCTACTTTACATTTCTCTGATAGTCAAAGATCACTCAACATCACTTACAGTATGGACTAACAGCACCCAACACTCTACCTCAAACACAGAAAAGTCCTGATTTACTACAGAGAGATTTTCTCCCACACACAAATACAAAATATATATATTATAATTTCCATTGTACAAGTAACCAAAATAATAAGTCATAGTGACCTGGAAATGTTGGATATGTATGTAAAGATGAAGTCTCTCTGTCCCCTTCTACTCTAATCAAACCTCCTCTCCTTTGAGCAGTGGTATAACAGGACTGGTGGACACCAAGGAGCTGGGGTTGAAGATAGTGGAAGATTATGCCAAGACATGGGCATGGATAATCATGTAATTACACACCACAGGCAAACACATCTCAAAGATATTTATAACAGTGTGTTCCTCAAAGCTGTGGGTAGTTAAGGCTTGTTTTAAAGGGGACCTATTATGCAAAATGCACTTTTTGATGTATTTTAAAAATAAATACGTGTCCCCGGTGTCCGGGGAACACACAAAGTCTCCGAAATAAAACCCTCTCTCTTTTCCTCCGTACCCACATCTCTAAAAACGGGGGAACAACGGAGCAGATCCAGATTTACTGCCATCATAGACATGTTTTTTATGTATTTGTATATATCTGAGACCTATAATATATGCCTAAAAATAGTATAATAGGAGACCTTTAATGTAAATGGATGTATTTTGAAACACTGTGACAAACCTGAAATCATTTAGTTTTTAAAAGGCAAAACAAGTGTGTTAACATGCCGTTGTTTGTGTGCTGTGGGACAGAGGTCTGCTCTTATCCCTGGCTCTGAGTCTGATCTTCATCCTGCTGCTGAGGTTCACAGCGGGCCTGCTGCTGTGGACCACCATCATCACCTTCTTACTGCTGCTGGCCTACGGTGTGTACTCACTGTCTGTTCAAGGGATTTCTACCGGAATACTATCACTATAATCCGTCTCCACAGCTCATTTTGTGTGTGTGTGTGTGTGTGTGTTTGCAGGTATGTGGTACTGCTCCATGCAGTTGTCCAGGCTGAGAAACTCACCTGGCTCTGATGTTGCCATAGTAGCAGTGGGTATGCAGACTGACCTGCAGGTCTACCTGCAGCTCTCTCAGACATGGATCCTATTATGTAAGTCCGTTTGCTTTGTGACACTTCACAGGAAGTCACAATTTACTCCAATGGAAAACTAAAGTAATGCACTGTGCACATAATGTCACACAGGCTCACTGTGGTGCTACACTATTAATTTTAAGGTTTTTCTGAACAAATCTGAAAGTAACATTCAGGTCCACATTCATCACACGGCGCTAACTACCTGAACTTCAGTACACACAGATTCTCTCTTGCTGAGGTGCTCTCGCAAGATTTCATGTCACGCTCTCATTACAAACGCACTGTTCATGTAGCAATACTGACATCTATTGGCAATCATCTGGAACTAATTAACACCGACACAGACAATAAACAACATCTCTAAACTCTAACTCCAATGTACAATTTCTTCCAATGAACACAAATAAAATGTTCCAAAAGTCTATTATTTTCAACTATTAATGTATCAATACTAAGTTGTTCTGAATAATATGACTGTTTATACCACAGTAACGTTGACCTTTACACTTTAAAACATTCCTCCAAATTATTTAGAGGTTTTTGTTATTTGGCTGATGAAGTCTGTTTTTTATCCAACTGAACTATGACACAGACATTATGTTGCAATAGTATTTGTCTGTATGGGCCCAAGTCAATCAGTTGGACCTACATCTCTGTTGTTTTTTTCTTTGTAAGGGACTTTAGTTATTCAGAAAGGGGAATCAGAAATCCTTTTCAGAACAGTAATCTCGGGGGATTTAGCGCAAAGCAAAAATGTAGAACATTAAAAGAGATCATCTCCCTTGAACCTGAACATGTGAAAACACAGCGTGTGTGTGTGTGTGTGTGTGTGTGTGTGTGTGTGTGTGTGTGTGTGTGTGTGTGTGTGTGTGTCAGTGGTGTCTCTGGCAGTGACAGAAGCATGCATCCTGTTGATGTTGATCTTCCTACGGAGAAGAGTGCAAGTGGCCATCGCCCTGCTCAGAGAGGCCAGCAAGTATGAACCATGAGACACACAGATCCAACTATGTGATTAAACACACAAGTGTATGATGACGGTTGTTTTGTGTTGTTGCAGAGCCATCGGTCACATCATGTCCACGCTCTTCTTTCCAGTGGTCACCTTCCTCCTTCTGACTCTCTGCATCTCATACTGGGCCGTCACTGCAGTGTATCCTTCCTCACACAGACACACAGATTTAGAAATGAAAGTGTTCAGTACCCAGAGGCTTTCAGCAGTGTGTTGCATGTGTCTTTAACTTTCACTGTGAACAGTTACCTGGCCTCCTCAGGTGATGCAGTCTACAGAGTCATGTCACCTGATGTCAGCTGTCAGTATGCCAACAGCACCTGTAAACCTGAGGTACAGTGACTCATGCGGTAGTATAACTGTAGTAGTAGTAGTAGTAGTAGTAGTAGTAGTTCTAGTTGTAATAATAGTAGTAGTAGTAAGGCAAGGAAAGTTGATTTATAAATCACCTTTCAACACAAGGCAATTCAAAGTGCTTTGCAAAAATGAAAAACATTAAGAGCATTAAGACATAGTGCAGCGAGGACTTCCGGTGAGCAAGGTGAGTGAGATGGCTGCTTAATTTTTTGCTCCTGATAGCGATTGGAAACCAACCCCCTTAACTCGCCAATTACGGCGAGACACCCCAGGTGAATAGGGTAATTTTTTTAACTTAAAGATATCAGCTAAAGATCTCTCCAGTTAATTACTTACAATAAGGCAATTGTTTTTTGTATTACAAGTTTTCTGAAATAGCATGTTTAAATATGCAAATGAGCCATTATCTCATTAAATATGTGCATATTTTAACACATTTCAGGAATTGAAATCTGAACTTTGGATAAAGCCAGGTTCAAAATTCTTGTTTCATTTTGTAGTCATATTAGTATCTAAGGCTTTTACAGAAGGGATTTTGGATATCTCTTTGTATCACTCCATAAATCAGAAAATACTGTCAACAGCCCTAAAATATCAATTTTCGCCATGTTTTTAGGTATAAAATGTTATATAATTCAACCCTTCTGTGAAAGCCTTCATAATATTGATAGGAATATAACTGGCAGGTTTGGTGCATCTACGTGCTACTGAAGTTGACATTTCGAACTCGGAGTAGGAGAAATAACTCATTTTGAGAAAACGACCTTTAAAGATTGCTGTGAGGCGCTAGCTAAACGCTCCTGTTATTTGGATGATAGCTTGCGCCTCGACGCACTCCGTGAAGGTATTTCATGTTCGGGGTCATTTGTTTTTTGTATAACCTTGCTT